ATTATAAAGACTATTGGAATAGACATATAAACATAATTATAAAGTAAATACTATGATTTTTGGGTATACCCCTGATTTAAGGCACCCAGCAGCCGATGGGATAGGATAGATAGCGAGATTGATAGGCCAAGGGTGTCATTGTGACCGAGGAAGAAGACTCCGAGGCCCAAAGGCGATTATCTTCAAACGTATTAAGACCAAATTTCAAGAGAAGTCCAAATCCAAAACTTTGCAAAGCAGCAAGTTGAAAATTTCCCCCCACACCTTACGCTACACTATGGAGCGTAATATTCCTAATTCATGAGATCCACTATCGTGTTGCCAGTGTGTCGCCATCGAAAGAGACGGGACGCCTTGCCCTATTAACTAGCATCAAGCATAATGTACACCAAAATGCAATCCTTCCACGCACGTGGCTATGTCACCATCGAAATCAAATGTGCGGAGAAGCGAGCGGATCAAGTACGGCAATCACTATGTCTTAGGAACGCGAAAGGTTGAATAGATTATATATAGTAATATTGGTATTGCTAAGCTGATAAATGACGGGTAAGAGGAGAAGTGATGAGTAAAGCATACTAGAAAAACGCGGAGAATGACCAATATTTGAAGCTACGTAGAAGAAGAGTTGGATACGCGAATTCTCACGATAGAATTTACGTGAAACTACTGCTCTATAATAAGAGCGGTATAGGGGAAACATAAGCTACCTCGTTTAAGCCCCTTGCTTAAAATTCGGTTTTAATAGCGATCTATGAACGTCGATCACGGCCTTCCCAAGGCGCTCCGATGTCTTGCGTGCTTTCAGATCGACAGCTTCAATTATTCGTATTAAGGTCTCTTGTGCAGGCGGGAACTTCTTCTTAGGTCAGCAGCAAAATGAATGACAATAACGCTCGATCGTACTTGTAGCTCCGACGGAACCCCAAAAGCCTAGGTGCACTCCAACTGCTTGTTTGCAGTTTCCAGGGAAGTTTGCTTAGATGACCTTGCCAGAAGCCACAACAGAGGCCTCTCAGAGATCTTCAAGCTTTTGTATTCTCCGAGAACTGCTTTTAGCATCGCATCCTGTGGAAATAGTCCTCTGAAATCCAACCATCTCGTGGCGCTGATCTGGTTGGCATCTCCGTTCGCACCACCGCCAGTGAGCGACACATAAAATGCTTGCAGATGAATCATTGGCTCTGCTTTCCGAAGGCCCGCACTCCCTCGGTCCTAATGTGTGGAGCTGTTACTGTCTCGAGGATCAAAAGATTGCTCTCACGGGCTCCCTTTGAGCTTTACCTCCAATTCAGGATAAAGAGCCTTGCTTACCTCGTGGCTGTCTCAATAATCTCCAGGCTTAAGAGACGACCGTTCTTTCGATAGTTTGAAGCCGCGTGGGCCCAATCGCAAATCGATCGAGTCCTATTCGTGCCATAGCAGCTGCGGAAGGGGCGAAAAGATCGGCCAGCCTGTCACTCCACAGCAGCGTCCGCTCTTCTTAGGAAAGGAATCGCAGGTCATTCCAGCAGGGTTCGGAAGCGGTCATAGCTGACGCTAATGCAAAGCGTCAACCATAGTCCAGGGCCTAGATCCTTCGCGTCAAGAAGAGCGCTCGCTATTCCCAATCTGTGCTATTTCATGACTCTGCCGTCTAATACGCAAGAATTAAATGCGTCGCTCCAGCACGCGATTTGACGGAAAGCTAATCGCTAGAGTATAATCGTTCGAGGTGCGAAGCGCATTGCATATATTTGGATCGCCTGGTCAGGCGTGGGAGCTTGCACCTTTTCCCTGTGGTCCACGCTTTGGAAATGAGAAGCAGGCTTTCATATCCATCGATCTTTTCTTGCATTAAATAGGAAGCAGCATCTGTCCTTATAATAGGGTTCAGCTTTTTGATACCGTTCCAATCGCTGTTTTCTGGGAGCAATTCGTTCCGGACAGTGGAGTGTATGGGGATCAAGAATATGGTCGGTCCATCGCATTCTAATCGAGTTGGACGCATCCTGGATGCTTGAGAGCAGAGCCCGGGCTTTCTAGGAGGCAAAGAGTCTACAAATGCTACTTGCAGCTTTGAGAGGCTCGAAAACATGGTGGAGAGGCAAGTTTGTATGAGAAAGCTTACGTGGTGTACAACTCAGCACGGGTGGGCGTATTCCCAGTGTCAAGTCCAGGGCGAGAAAAGTCACGTGATAGAGCCCCTTTTCAGTAGCGTTGCTCCGTCCACCGGAGTATTCAACCGTCTATGCAGAATGTTAACAGTAACACGATTCGGACAAGTAGCCACGCTGCATAGGAGCATGTACTGGTATCGAGAACCAGCTCTGTTTGTTCCTTCTTCCACAATCAATGACACCTCCAGAGTAATCACAAAAGGTGGAAGACGCGCCTCCTTACTCTCTTACCTCATCGCCCCTTTGCACAAGGCTAATTCTAACCGCATCCTCGCCTCGCTCCAGGACTTTGATACCGTCACATATTACTCGATCGTCGGCGTAAACCTTATATAATGCTTTCTACCGGCTCGACCTCTCTCGCCCTTTTCTCGCCTATGTAGTGAAGCGAAAAGAATGCTTTTGAATACATGTACTAATTTCAACTATTCGTCCGAAAAGTTTGGAAGACGTTGCAATCATGATCAGCAAGGATAAAGGTACATGTCATGCCATCTATATTTTTGGCTCAAATCATTTGCTTGGAAGTAGATGTTGACTATCAAAGGCCAAAGAGTCATGCTGTATACAAATCCACCTCTGCTTGTCCGTGGTCTACCGGGATCAACACTCAGGATCCTTCTCAATAGAAACAACGATGTGTATGGGATTGAAGTAAGAAGTTGAGTGAAGAATGTTTTACACCATTTAACGCACTGACATATTCACAGATGACGATATGATTTGATAGAGTTGCAACAAGAGCCGCCGGATAAAATAGAAGGGTGGATTTCAATCGGATTAGAACAAAGAGTGGTGGCGACCGCAAGTTCTTCATGACTAGTGCCGACAGGACATTCTTTCCGGCAGGTGTAATCAGGATGATGGGCACTAACTATCGATTGTCGTCTTCCTAAGCATCTTCATAGAGCACTGGATCATGGTAGGAGGCTGTCTCCAAAGTTATACGATTAAGGTAATAAGATCCTGTAACGTCGTCTAGAACTATCGTTCAGAAATCCGTGACTAGTGCAGGCCCTGCAGATCTGTAATGCAGGTGTCATCCCCTCGAGTCCGTGAGGTTTCTACAAATGGCATACGCAGCGACAGCGTGGTGTAGTATAGCGTTGTCGCTGAGTTGAAGATAAGCGTGCAATTGCGCTGAAAAGACAGAGTCGCGATGTTTAGAATCTGGATAGTATGTTAACCAACGTTCCAAGGAAGGTGAGCAAGAAGCCTGAACGTGACGGAACGGAAAGGATTTCCAGCTCTTTTCACGAGCGATTACTTCGTATTTGAGATGCGACAGATATTATGAGTAGCAAGCTGAGCTGCTTATCTGGCTGACAACTTCTGTTGGCAACTCACTAGGCCACGATAACTCGACAACAAGAGCATTCTTTTTCCGACGAAACCTGTTCGGTATATTTTCATATACTGTAGCAAAATTTGACTCTCATCAACGTCCAGGAATTCGCTGGACGAGAGAAAAGTTTCCTTAACATGCAACACCTCTATCTCCTTTGCGTTGAGAGGAAGTGGTGTCAATCGAACGGCGATGTCTGTTGGCGCAACACTAGATGTCCTATCTCTTCTACGCTCATCAGATTCACTGTTTTCACAAATTCGGACCAACCGACTCCTGCAGCCTAGGCTCAGGAACGCTAAGCGAGAGAAATCGAATATCATTCACCAGGATCGCATCGCCTTCTCAAATTTCCGATTAACTCCTCCTACAAAAAGTGCGTAGAGCTTTTTCATTTTTCGATGATAGACACTCGCTCTGTGTTGGCTTCTCGCGGATCAAGACTTCGACACATTGATGGTCTGAGCTGGTACTAAATCAAAGAAGCTGCTTCGGCGACCAGATCGTTGTATCAGTTTTGGGTTCTCACTTCACCTGGAATGTGATACCTGCCGGGGAAGCTTCATGAGCCACAGATTGCGCAAGCACTTCGAGTACTGCTTCTTTGTGCCAAACCGTTGTGGTACTGCGGTGGCCAAAGATCGGCATCAGGGTAAGACCATCGCAGAGCAGTTAGGAAGGCCAGCACTCTTTGACACAAGTCACGATTATTCATGGGGCAAAAAGTTTGGAGAAGATTTCTACCTGCACGTCCCATGCCAAAGACTCTCTTAAAAAGAACATGCGTCGTGATTTCATCACACCGCGCCTGCAGCGATACGACCTCCTCACAATTCATCTTGTTTTCCGGAAATCAACTGAACGCGAGGAGGTTAAATGTCTCATATGGAGCCAAATTGAAGGAGGATGAATCAACGGTTTCTTTGATCCAAAACCTTCCGGTATTTGTTGTGAAATTCCTCTATCTTTCACGATGAGACGCGACGGCAGTCCAGAGTGTGTTGAGAAACAATGTCTGGACAGCCGTATCTGGAGAAAACACGCCATTTTCCTTGCGAACGAAAGAATAGCGCCGGATAAGAGTCGGCAGGATATGTTGCAACTGTTAGCAAGACGGTAGTCAGCAGCCGCCCTGTCTAGGGAAGTATTTCTCTGCAGGCCCAGATCGGGTTATGTTGAATTCACATAGACACAGTAGCGCCTCCAGTCCGCAATTTCGGCCAAATGCGATACTTCTTGGATCTAGTAAATTTGGAGCTTGCTTGCTTGGTCGCTGTGAGGAAACCTTGTAACAAAGGGAGAAAGCTAGGTTTGTTGGCGATGTATGATAGCAAACAACAAATGCAAGGAGAACAATCCTTTTGTTTGGTAGAATGTCATTGTTCCGCTAGACAATGGGCAGACAGGTGACTTTATTGTTTAGCAACATTTATAGGTTAGTAAGCTGTACTTTTCTCTGGTCAGGCTTTCGTAATTCATTACAACCCACCATCGAAATGGCTGTGCAGAGACATTCAAGTATGTTAAACAGAGTCACTTCAGTGGTACGAAAGGTGAAAGATTCTCGGAGAGAACACGCTAGACAAGCTATAAAACAATCGATTTCGGGTCCGTCTAGGCCTGAAGGTATGGACGATAAGATTAAAATGATTCTCCATTTACTAATAGGACGCAGATTATCTGGACCAGCAAACCGACAACGAAAAGCTGCTCCTGCGTCATGACCAACATAACTTAGGCTCCTTCGAGATACAACGAGATGGACAGCCTAGGCGCTTGGATGAAGGACATTACTCTCGGGAGAAAGGAGGCACCGTGGCCCTATCACAACATGGGACAGATCTATTCCGTCAACACGAGAAAGAACCGAATTATGATCCCTCCACGAGCGGGAACATTCAGACTAAAGCACAGACTCCACAAGGGACCAATTCTCCTGTTGTATATGGTCAAGGGTTGAGATTCGATTCCCATGTGAGCACGAATACTGCAGCCGCGACACCTTCTTCACCTAGGCCCGATCGACTCGGTGAGCAGCGGCCTATTAGAGACAGCATTGACAGCCAGTCTAGCCTCCTGTCCATCATCGTCTGCTATGAAGGCATTGATGAGCCGGATAACCTGAACCGTCTCTCTTTAGATGGCCATCCTCCAACTACCTCAAAAGCCGAAGAACTTACTTCAGTAAATTACAGTTTTACATTGTGGGCTCCAAGCATATTAGAAGTCGATAAGATCGAGGACTTCCCAGACACCATCACAAGTCCAGGAGGAACTATCTACTATCAGACCACAGGAGAAGAGCCAGATCCTGGATGCTCAGGCCAAGAAGGCTCGCCAATCGAGACGAGGGAAGCTGGTAGATTCTCTGATAAGAGGATCAGAGTCGCTAAAGATTGTAGCTAAACGTTTCGGCGATAGGAAAGCGTAATGATGAGCTGACATAGCGATTGCGGAGGCCTCGTGCCGTTACCGCAAGAAGCAGCAGAAGCGAGCAAGAAAACGAACTAGAGGATTTAGTAGATGAGACTAAGATTGTAGAATTCAGAGAAAGGAAGAAAATAAAAGAGATGACATGCTTTCGAAATGTTCCCCACCAAATAAGTCCCTTGTACGAGCGTGCCTCAAATTTTTCCACTCCTCACCATCTGTCGCGCTCCTCATTTTTGGGATTGTCCCCTAATGCTCATTTGACTTCCGTGAACAGCCGGTAAGCTAATGAGCTATGCATTCTCTCGACCAAAGCTCTCGCGCTATCGAGTTGACGTCGAAGGACGCTCTTCCTGTAGAGCAATCTGTGGTCATAAGACACTATTCCCCAGCGAACAGTCCCCAAGCCGCTCCTGCGTTTCCTTGGTTCCTATTTACCATTGATCTAATGCTGCAGCAAGGAGCCACCTTGCTGCCTTCATCGAGTATACTCCGTCGGAGCATGCCTTATCGAAGCCTCGTAGTATCTGGTATCGAGGTTTGTCTTCGCTGCAGAGGGCTTGCTCCCTTGCTTCTCAAGATCTAACCACTATAAGAAAGAAGAAGGACAAAGTATGCCTCTACCCCACAGTGCTTCGCATTAACTTCGACAAGTGAGAACGATATTAGCGCGCTACATGTCTTAGCCGTCCGAGTGCTCCTTCCTTTATTCTATTAGTAGTGGGACGACGTAGGCGAGAAATGGGACTAAGTAAGAGAATCTTTCCCTGCTTCCCATCTCTGATTTATCCTTACATCTGATATTATTCTCCCACAGCCAAGTCCACGAGCAATCAAGACGACTCGGAAATTTTGGGCCATCTTCGGCCACATTTACCTCCTTTTCTCCCTCCCCTCGACGTCTCCTTCACTTCACCCAAAGATAACGACAACCATCAGAACCGGGCACCCAACCCTCTATCATAATTCAACGGGCACATAATAAGGGGTTAAGTGCCTATCGAATCACTCTTCTCATCAAATGCAAGATGCAAGACAACACCCTCTGTCTGGAGGCCTACAAGGCCAGGAGTGGGAGATCAAGCGCAGAACGGAGCTGGAAGACAGCGAGAAGAAGAGCGAGCGACCACAGCAGGAGATCTTAAGAAGACCGTACAAAGACAAGCGATCGAAAAAAGGAAGCAGGAGATGCAGAAGACGGATCAGCGGGCTATGGGGAACCGGTCAACGAAGGAGTAAGTCAGGTTCAATCGGGACTTACCTACCGCATACTGACGATAATCGCGAAGGCTCCTGCTACAGCGCATCAAGCCCAAATTGCTCGAACACATCGTCTTCAATTAGAAGGTAGCTGACCATCTTCGAGGCAAGCGAACACTTATCGGGTCTGCTAAATCGGCGACAGCACACCGTCCTGCAAGAGTCAGGAAATCCAACCGATGATAAATGTGAGTCAGCTTGTGTCAGAATGCGCTTAAGGATACACTGACATCGAAGCTGGAAGAACTCGAATGTAGCACGTTGTCGCTCCAACTGATCGTCCTAGATCGAATTGTTGATGCTAAGTCTTCCCGCCAGCGCACTGTTTCTGAGCCGCGGGCCTGCCTGTTAAGGCTTTAGGGCACTATCCCGGTAGATGAAAGGAGTGGGAGCAAAAGATGTTCACTATAGGTAGCGGTGAGAGAGGGTTGGGGGCTGGGAGAGGATAAGAGATGGGAAGCGATAAGGAATGGGGAGAGCTCGGTGAGGGGGTGGGGGAGGAGAGTCAGGGAAGATCATAATCAATATAGGATGCTAGCAGGAGCACGCTGGATTGCCCATTCTTAGAGATTTCTGGGTATGCAGGGGTTCAATATATTGGCAATGATTCGAGGTGCGCGCGTTTAGAGGCAACATGAAAGACATCTCGAAATCGATAGAGAATCATTCCAACCCGTCTTCGAACGGACGCAGTCTAACACCTCCTTGGGGCCAGTTTCCCGATGCAGCACAAGGGCTGCGCAAAGGGGCTGAGGTGATAAGTGATACCACTGGTTGGTGCCATTTGCCAGAAAGTAGACTGGTCTCTTGGTGGGCCCCAACCGATGACAAATTTCCTCGATATTTCTTTTGGAATGAGTTCGACGAACGCCATTCCGGACCGTCTCGTGTTACTCATTTTGAGCGCAGTGTAGTATGTATTTGCCAATTTGCTTTTTTGCTCTTGCGTATTGGCCAGACTGGTGGTGATTGCAACTACCATCCGGCTGGAGCCTGTGCGAACTTTGCCGCTATAGTCATCTTTGACACGATATGAATGGCAGAAGTGGTTTTCCTCAGAACTCTAACCCTGATTCAAGGTCAAGTTTTGCTTTCTGTCTTTGATCCGTACCATTTGCAAACGCCGCGATTGTTTGTTTCCCGGCCAAATCAGTCCTTAGCATGTCATTCGTCGTCCTCTTGCAGTCGTCTGTAGATGCTAGCCGGCGTCTCTTCGGAAAGACTTTAATGGGCAAGTCTGCTGCCAAGTGTACACTTTTCCCTTTTCCCTTTCCTTCCTTAATAGATTCAATGTTTCGGCTTTAGGCGATCACAAATACTATATATTCCGGCAGAAACAGGAAGACCCCTACGAAATCTTACAACCTGATATGAGCAAGCCAGCAACTTGGCGAAAGTTGGAAAGCGCACCTTCTCTGTCTGCGATCGAGACGAAGTTGATTGATACTGCTGAGATGCTCGATGGACGTCGTGTCCTCCCACAGGAGGATATTCCTAACGGCTGGGAGAAAGGAGGCGGCTCTTTCGAGGACGGGACTATGGTACCAATAATATCAACAATAGACTGCTCACAACATTTGGTGGAACGATTTTTTTCCTTCTCGGTACTATATCTGGTACGCAGCTTCGAAAACAATTAAAAAAGTACGTGCACGAGGAGGCTTAGTAGAGATCTTGAATATCCTACATGATGGTAATACCCTTTCTTTTACAGGTAGGTAGCTCATTTAGCTTCATTGTCACACCAGTATCTAAATCATAATCATGACTCCAAAAATCTCCTAAAGCCTTCCAATCTTTCTTCTATTCTCTTGAAATCATCCCCATTCCAAGCAATTTAGCAACAGCCTTAATACGATGCTCCGACTTGTTAATATCCTTTAACTTAAGCTTTTGCAGCTCTTTTGTTTAGTTCAAAACGCTGGGTAGCTCTAAGCTAGAATTTGCTAAGATATGTCTGCGCTACAGCTAGCCATGTCAATATGTCCATAGACAGATAGACGCTGACGACCTTGTGATGCCTAGCCAATGCCACCGGCAACAATTTCCGACCCAAAATCCTATTGCATGATAATAACACTAGAACTGAGACTGCAGTAGACTGAAACTGCTGACGTTCTAGAGGTCGAAGTCTAATGCATTAGGGTTAGAGTTAGTCGTGTCATAACACTTACGTCCTTAACCAATCTATTATATTATCACAGTAGGCTTCATTTTGCTAACAGAAAGCTGTTCCTTGACAATAGCAGCATACATCCAATCTTGCCTACTGAACTTGTCAATACGTACAATTGGAACCCGGTCTGATTATAATACATAAGATTTTACTTTGACCGCTATGTTTTTGCCCCTGGAACCCTTCAATTATGCCAGTCGATACAGAAATCATTAGGATGTTCTTCAAAGCAAAGAGAGCATCTTATCTGCCTTATACTACAGCAGACAACGAGATATTAAGTCCAGAAGAAGGCTACCTTTATTCTAACATCAAGCTTCATAATAACTACTACTATGAAGAATGGCTAGAGGAAGAATTCTTTGAACACGATCGTGACGAGCAACAAGCACTCAAACACGCTGCTCAAAGATTCCAGCGTACGGACAAGATAGCTCAAATAGCACGCGTTCCAGAGTTCCCACCAGGACAAGCCCCACCACCTCCTGCCCCAAGCTCACTACCAAAACAAGACCATGAAGAGCTCAACAATGCAGCGCATATAAATGAGATAGAAAACAAAGCCATATCTGCAGCCACGGGACAAGACGTAAGGACGAAAATGACCAGAAGGAGCCACCACAGTATATGCATCAACAAGGTCGTCCTTCGCGTCTTCAAAAGCTAGTTCTCCACTGCTGCTGTGCCATGGTAGACAAGGTCTTCGCACAAAGTACTTATATGTAACCTCTCACAGTGAGTGCTTATATGTAACCTCTCACGGTGAGTACTTATCTGTAACCTCTCACGGTGAGTACTTATCTATAACCTCTCACCGTGAGCACTTGCGTATAACTACTCACCGTGAGTGGTTATAGGGTCTAGCTTGCCAAGGCTCCCCCCTATCTCCTCCCTACTGTATCGTGCAGGACATAATAATCAGATAGATGCGAACCTCTCTAATATTTAAAAGAGACAAACATCTTGCATTTTTTAGCTTGATACTCTATTGATCAACATCTGTTGTTCACTATCTACCCCTGGAGAATGCTAAAATTGCTCTATCTATTCGGCGTAGCCATTGTCTTCCATTCCCTCTAAGTCTAAGTCCACTTCGACGGCACTCTGCGGCGTAGGTTCAAAGACCTGCAGATTCCCAAGGTGGGAGTCTTATCGATGCTGCAAACTGATGAGTGTCCGCTTTATGATAGGCCGGTTTGGGTGTAGGGTTTGTAGGCTCTCTTTGAAAGCGCAAGTCCGAACATTGGGATTTGTCTCGAAGCCTACAATTCCCTTCAAATGCACGACCCGGGTCTAGTCATCCTTCGGAATGGGTCATCTACTACAGTAAAGACAATGAGTGCCTCTGCCCCAACCTTGCATGCTCGCGAATGTACCGTGCAAATGAGTTCTGTTCTTGATCATGACAAAACCTGTCTCCCTTTTCCATTCTAGCGACCCGAAAATCAACAAGACAAAAGAAGGATCTGTCAGTCTACAGTGCCATCATCGCGTTATGCTCCTCTCGTATACCTTGCTGCTATGACACTATCGTCTATAGCCGTCACATCGGCCACTAGGGTCAGATAGCTGCAAAAGTTGAAGAAGAAAAGCGATCCAACTGACATGACTGGACGTATGAACGGCAGGCAGAAAGGCTGGAACAGCAGCGCGAGTCCTTCGCAAATCATACACTGGCTAGAAGCCACAAAAGAAAACACTGCTCACAGATTCCGATCCCGCAAGCTGTGTCCGAGACTTTTCCTCTGCTTAGGCAAGATAGTAACTGCTATATGCCCACCTCGCCTTTTTAATGCCACCTCCGCTTCCTTGATCTCGATGTCTGACCTCCCAGCTTCTGATTTGCTCATACACCTGGCCGTGACACAGTACGTAGCCCTCCGGCGTGTGAAGACGTCGGCACCTCAGCTTGCCCAACCACCGTGCGTTCATGTGATCCAGCTCTTCGCCTCTCTGCTCTCACGAGAGAAGACTGTGTCCTTCTTCCTCATACCCCGGTCATGATTCTTGGTGCTAAATATATGCGAAGGTGACACATGTCGTGATTACCTCCGAGCTATCGCTTGAAGAGGTCGGTGGGTCGGATGAGCAGCAGTCACAAGGAAAGCTGTGATCCTAGAGGCGATTGAGTTAAGTGTGTAGGAGGACCTTGTTCTGATGAACTTACCGCGTCTGCTGCTTCAGGTCGGAGAGGATACCTGAGGGAGCCTGTAGGTCTATTGAGATAACGAGCCCAGGCACACCCCCACAACGAAACATGACGGCGGCTTTTTTGCTCTCTTTGTGCTTATATCCATCCTTGTCTCTTAGCGATCTATTATCTCAACCTAAGTGTTGGAAGCAAAACTTCCGTCACTTTTGACAGTGCGGGTTGCATTGACTTCGCGCATGAGGGACATCGGCGATGCTCCCACACTTATGAGGAAAGTTGTGACCATGTCCTCGGCTCTTATGGCAGCGGAAGGATGCTATCAAAGGGATGGCGTAGAGCCTTCTGCGTCAAAGGATACGTGCGGAGTATCGGGCCTACGCAAGTCGTCAGGGAAGGAAGAAGGGACTGGCATCATTAGAGGCTCTCATGGCATGTGTTTCCTTTATGATCGATCATGAGTGCTTATTAAAGACATACTTTTATACAACGCTAGCCCGCTTAGCTTTCAGCGGCCTGGCTTTGGATGTTGCTATCAACGAAGAAATTGCGCAGTGTTTTGCTCACTTAGAAGCGTTCTGGGAACGTCATGATTCATTTGAATCTATCTGCCTGCAATAATGAGTGGATGTTGAGAATAGTGGCTTGCCTGATACTGGCGTTTTGGCTTCCCCTATGGTCAACAGCTTGTCTGATTGAGTGGAAGTTAGAAAACACTTCATGAGAGGAAAAGTATTGTTGTAGTAAGGCGCGGTGTGCTAGTGATGTAATAGATTTGGTGGTGTAGCGCTTTGGGCAGTCGCTGAATCGTTGTGCCGGTGAGTATGCTAGGAGATATCGTCAACTGATTGGATGAGAATTTGGCGAATGGCGTTAAGCAAGTTCATGATACTGCGGCCGTTGGTAATGCTAGGGGATCTGGGTGCCATGTCGTGAAATTGGGGTGGGTTGCTGGGGACTTGGGGCGCGATATGAATTTTGGACGGTGGTAACTGGAATAGGTACCTGTCGAAATCTGAAGCCAGCCGCAGCCTGAGTATTGGTGATTGTCACCAAAGAGTAATGCACCTTTACCTCTATGGACAGCACCCTTTGAGCCCTCTCTAAGATTAGCTCCTGCGCTTTGACGACCTCTGCCATGGCCTCCACTTGCGCTAGGGGATGCAGCGTCTTCAGTATGTACCCTCGTCGTCTCAGCGGTGCTGGCATTGGTCATTTCTGAGTCGGTGACATTCCTTCTCAGATCTTCACTTGCATGACCCAAAGTGTCTAGAATGGATTCAGGACCAAAAGAGCTTTCGCTTGGTCCCGTACCGGAAGACGGAGGTCCTAGAGCAAATGATGAAGTTGGCATCGGTACCGCTCCTAAGCCTGTACGTTAGCTTGTGGAGTCTTGGATCCGTTCAAGTAATCCCGAGGTTGCATCAGTAGGAGGTTCCAATGTATGGTATATAAAGCTGCTCAAGTCGTGACGATGGCCATGATCCGATACAGATAGGGGTAATACGTCTTGCGGGAGTGACAAGGCTGGGAGTTCTTTCTGAGCTGGATTGCGCACAACTTCGATCCGTTATTTCCAGATTTGCTGCTTCGGTGCTGGAATACTTTGAAAGCAAGTGTCATAGGTCTCAAAGAACTCTCCACCGGAAAGATTAGATGAGGTCAGCTCAAATTGCAGCTGCTTCTGTAAGACGTCCCAGAGCATCGTATCCTGATAGTCACGGACACAATCACAGACAAGCATAAAGCACTTGGGAGGCAGAGTGGCCGGGACCGAGGAATAATTGCATGCCTGTGCGAATAACCTCGGTAGTGTCTCCACAACAAGCTCAGCGAGCCCAAATTGTACGTCCAAGTCAGTGGCTAGACAAACGTAGCAGATAAGATGAACCAGCCTCTCCCTTTCCGATATCTTGCCCTTGAATAGGGTGTCGAAGACGCTTGCTAAAAGACGCGCGACCTCTGGAGCGGCAGACATAATTTGTATGAGCCGCAGCTTCGCAAGCGTTTGAAGCTGGCAGCGTGCTGGCTCCTGTAGCTAGGTAGTCAAGCTGCTCTGCGCGCCTTCCCCAATAGACTTGACCTTCTGAATCTACTTTCGTCTTCCGCACATGACCCCGCTTCATTGGGCTCTCGCTACTAGGCAAACGAGGCCATCCATCCATCATGAAACACCTGTAGTTATGACTGCCAGCCCACCACGGCTTCCCCTACGCTCAGCTGCCCTTCATTCACACTAACGATCCAGTCGATACTCTTCCGATGATGCGACAGTCGTCAAGCTTCTAGCAGCTTATGATGTATTGTTCTGCAATTGTCTGTCTCATCGCATCACGTCATATCTTCTGCTTCATCGCCCCCTTGGCCTCAAGCCTCCAATCAACATCAGAATCATGTGACCTGGGGGCTGAACCCCACGCCAGGGGTGTCCTCGAAGACGGCCATCAATTCGACGGTCGTGGTGATAGGCTCACTCTCGCTTGGGACGTTGGCACGCTCTTTTTCAGCTCTTGCGTTTCATTTGTACTGGTAGAGTTCGCTTGAGGGCGAGGGAGGCGAAGGCGAAGTACGCTGCCAGCGAGGGCGAAGAGGAGGGAAGAGAAGATACCGTGGAGAAGGCGAGGAGGAAAGAAGACTATGAGACACCTCTATTGAGCAGCTGTTGTCGTGGTCAGAGATGCTTTGGTTTGATCGGTGCCTACTGAACATGCGCGTCACGCCCGTCAAAGCCCAAGTTTTTGACGCCAGAGCAGGCTACGTAGCTCCCAGAAGGAGCGAATGATAGGACCTGAGCATTGTAATTCTCATCTCCACCGGTGAAATTGCGGTGCGCGACGAGAGCAGGACATAGCGCATTAAGGTGGCAGCTGGGATATTGGCCCCTGGGCGATCATGTTGTTGTACCGCTGCATTTCTGAACCTTAAGCCGCAGCGACTGCCAGTGCTTGAGAAGTCTCATCGATTGTTGGTGCCGAGCTTCACTCTTCATTGCCTCCGTAGACAAAGAATGGAAGATGTTGGTCCTCAGACGTGACTTGGCGCTAATTCTATGGCGTCATTTTCTCGGCGATTGCGGACTTAACAGAACGTAAACAAATACCGAAACTTTTGGTCTGACCATGCAATGATACCTCATCCATTCGCTGTTATCGCAATGTCGTGAGCTCCTTTGGTCTGTCATGCTTGGCCCTCAGGGTCGTTGACTCAACGCGCTGCATCTATTTTCACCGCATTGACAAATCTCCACCTTCGAATTAACCCTAAGGCAGATAGTCTCCATCAGAAGCCCAACACCTGAGCGATGAGCTATGACTCCGCCATATTGGTTATGCACTCCCCAGAAAGCGTTCAGATTGCGCTGGTCATACTCTCAAGATTGCAAGCTTCGCAGCCAGGCAGCAGCCCCGCATTCACGTGACTCTTGATTCACTTCTCCCACCACAGCCACCGCTCCTCTCTCTCCTCTTACCTCATGAATGAATCAACCTTCGATCCTCTCCTCCTTCGCAAAATTACGCAGTGGCATCAAGAGGTGGTGATCTACACGGACAATCAAGATTCAAGTCCCGTCCGCGCTGCTAACGTCTACGCCCACAACGAAACGCCACCTCGCCGCTCAGCTAGAGTCAATGCACTCCGGGAGATTTCTCAAAATAAAGCAGGCAGGAAGAGGAAAAACTCAATGGATGCACATCGAGATCACGCTGTAGACGGTGAGGAAGAGTCATCACATCCTGCAAAACGGGGCCCAGGCCGTCCACGGGGCAGCACCTCGCAAAAACGAACTGCGCACGGTAGAGCCCAGTCAACGAAAGTGCCAGGTCAGGCAACCGTCATTTTTCCCAATGACTCAGCCTCGGACCTCCGACCTCCTTCGCCAGTCAAGAAAGAACGAGGCATCAAGACGATCGACCAAGAAGTCAGCGATGCAGCTATTACTATGGAGTATCTCAAATGCTGCAATCCCTCCGTCATGGTTTTCGACATGCAAGAGGCGATCTCGGCCGGTACCCAATTTCCAGAATCTATCTCTAGACTTTACAGGAAGCTCTACTCCGTTCCAAAGGGTCTTATCCCTCGAGGTCTCAAAGTGATTATTGAACAATCCCCATTGATGCTAGTCTAATTTCTTTCGGTAGGACGAATACGTTGCAGAAGCGAACACTCGCAACAAATCCCGAAGTCCTCTCGAGAACAGCGACTTTCTCCCTGCCGACAAGATGAAGTATCCACTGGCAAGATTAGCTGAGTTGAAAGCGAAGGTTGAGATCGTACGAGTCAAAGCAAGGCGCAATGAACTTCGAAGAGCTATTGAACGGCAATGGGGTGCCATAGCCCATGAGCTATTTTGTGAAGCAGAGCGCTTTGTCGAAGGGGTTGAAGTTCTGAATATGTGAGTTTTGAGCGTCTGCTATCCGTTTCCAATAGCTGCTGATGCCGTTGCGCAGTGAGAATTGTTCCATAGAGCCTGTAGAGATGCGACCTATCCGCCCTAATGGACAGATCTTTACTGATTACGATGTGGAGGGCCAGAGTCTTGTCACCAAGAGTTCCGTCGATACAAATGGAGAGCTCAAGAGTATGGGCAAAATGATCGACTGGATGCTTGGGCTCGTACTCAAGTCTGACGAGCATGCCCTCCTCCAAAGAGCATACAGAAACCTTAGAGATCACAAAGCGCGGGCCATAAGTCAATCACTTTCTTACATAAAAGATTGTCCTGCGATCTGCGATATTGAGATCAAAAAAGAACAAGACCCGCGTGACCCCCTAGTCCAATCGGCAATCTGGGCCTCCGCAGCCCTCAAAAAGAAGAAGTCTTTCGAATGGGATACCACGCTTCCAATGCCCGCGATCCTAATCGATGGGCACGAATGGCGATGGTGTCTCTTCTTTGCTGGTCCACCCAAGGAGGACATTCTGGTGATTACACAAATTCCACCACGGTTTTTTTGCTGAAAGCTGACTTTAAATAGTACTATGCTGGCCCGTTCGTCTTTGGACACACTCGAGATAGGGACGGCATCTGGGCTATTTTGTATCGACTTCAAGTTTTGGTCGAATGGGGTGTCACTGATTACCGCACCTGGTTCGACAAGACCATCTTGGGATGGGCACGGGAAACCAGCAAGCAAGGCCAAGCAGGAGGAGCTGAGCAGGGGTCTTGGGAAAAGAGTGTGCCAGGCATTGGTGGTAAGTAGCTTTCAAGTCCGTGGGTCCGGGGAAAACTGGGAGCGACAGCAGCTATAGAAGGTGGTACGTGCGATGAATACTTGCCTGCCTTGATGACTTACGACATAAACGAGGGCACGATTTAATACCTTTATAAGCAACATGTGTACTAAACGCAATGAGTTTAGCACTCACGAAGAGCCAGTATCTGACCGAAGTCTTATCATAAAGTACAGCGAATCTGCCACCTCAGTGAGCGTCGTTACTTCTCTCGTTAAGGAGCAGCGCCCTGGTTCTGATGAGCGGGCGTAGCAGGGTGTGTGTGCTGAATTGCATACTTTCACGTCAAACGTATAGCAAGGCCCTTTCTACACCTCCAATTTTGAATCTATGGTCACAGCCTCTATCGAGCTCATGCGGGCGACTCATCCCTTTCCTCCTTCTGTGACGCAGTAGCGACTCATCCTATCCAGCGAGCCCAGCTCGGGAAACCCGGCCCGCTTAACATCCGCCGAGTTGGCTGCACGAAGCAACGTCCGCCGTCGCTCCTCCTTCTCGCAACATATACCTGCACATGCATGATTGCGGTGCTGCAGCTCAAGAATGCTCAGCTTTTACGTGAGATATGGGTCATCCTAAGAAGCCACTTGATGCGCCTTGTCGCTCACTTTCTCCGACTCATACCGATAACAAATTCCAAAATAAAAGGCAAGTCAGGCGCAAGCTTCCGTATGCAATGCAGCAACAGTCGAATGCAGCCTGTTCTGGACCGTGAATCATTGGACAAATTCTTTACTACATGTTGAAAATGCGCTTTAGCAACCTCAAACCTCTGATTCAAGAGAAGCGCCTAGTAAAGGTACAACCGCACCGCTATGATGGCAGCAACAGACTTATTGTGAACGACTTTTAATTTCTACTACCATCTTCCAGCTCTCCCGCATTGTCCACCCACAATGATTCGATTTGATTGAGCAACGCAACCCTGTGGCGCTCTTGGCGACAAGGTGGTTTCCAGTCTCCCACACTTTCATAAAGTCCTGGAAATGGTTCACGGTCTTGTGGCTCCGATACACCTGGAATTGAAGGAAGAGAATAGAGTGGAGAGGTGGAGTCGTCAGTGCTAGTACCGAATAGTCAACCCCTTGGAGGAGACTTTCCACAAGGGGCTTGTCGTGCGAATTCGTGACGAACCGCCCCGATAGATCGAAGCTGAAGGTTTCGTAGATCAGTGTTGGACGACTCATCCTGCTCATGAGGCCGACTAGCTGTCCTCGAAGAAAGCGTTCCACGACAACGTTCTCCATCTTGCTGGGTCGGATCTTTAAGCGCTGTGGGCTGACTTGATATCTCTTAGTCTATGTTCTGTATCTCAGGGGATCAGGAGCGTCAATGGCTTCTCTGCATGTGAACAATCACCTCGTCGCCGATAAAGGATAATCTGCTATTTTCTGAGACCATTTCTTGTGGCTTTTGATTGATCAAGCTGTGCTGAGACTGGAATCTGCTGTCGATGTCTTTGTGCTCCACTGTTCGTTTTACCTCTAGATAAAGTACGAGACGACGATCAGCACGCTGCTCTATGGAGGAGTGCCGCTTGCTGTCCATCTCCTGCTCTGCAGGGTTTTAGGAGGAGTGAGATACAAGATCGCTGTGCTCTAGCTGATATGCCTCACCTCATGGTCTATAAAACTTTACAACAGTGCGTCGGAGACGTGGTGCCATTGAGTGGAACTATGCTCGTGGGGATGTGCGTTGTGTGGGAAGTCAGATGGCGTAGACGCGTAGACATTATCCATTTCGTCTTATATAGTAAATGATATAATTCCATTTAACAAACAATGTCCTTTCGACCGCCGCTGAAGTCGTTTAGCAAACGCGCATTTTCTAAGTATAAACTGACGTAGAAAGGACCGGCTAGAGGCCAACGCTACAATCGACCTTTTCCTTTTCAGCCTATGCTCTTCTACTCATCCTTGAATAATAACGCGCTCACTGGAATGCAGTTGCTAAAACGCTACCACTTCCAGTTAAGTGCATTATTTCCCCTACATGTTCAATAGTGACTAAGCTTTCTCAGGGTCTTCTGCAAACATGATTGCACAAACAACATATACGCAGCTGGCTTTGCATATCTCTGTTTGATACACAATCACGATTTATTAGATTGCCTTTCTTTGCTGCTTTAATAGACTGGAAGTCTCTTTGTTCCAATAATCCTCTACAACCATCTCCTCCGCCAACTTAAGCCTTGACTTGCACAAGCGTTAAAAACATTGCTCTGCACTTAGCTGCAGTGAACGCAAAGTTTGTCATAGCCCGAATATATCACCAAACGCCATGCTGTTCGGATTTCTCAATCTTCTCGCACAATGTGCAGATAAGGAGCCTTTGCGAGTGTCAGCTACGCAGCAGGACGTGAAGGATGAGGATTACCGTCCTCAAGCTCTACAAATCGAATCTCCTCCCTTGCAAGTATCGGCTCTTTCTCTCTCGCATTATGATATTATGTTTCAGTGAGGGTCAAACAAACCTTAAGTCTTGTGCAACACTGAAATTTTATAGATATAATCAATCGCCGCCCCTTTCGGTTCATTTTGGCTCTCTGGTGCTTACGATGTACGTAAATTTTACTGATCGCTCGTGCAGACCGTCGCCCAACTCCGCTGTCCCGCGATTCAATGTTCTTCCTTGACGAAATCAGCCGTATAGTATTGACTATGAATTCGACATCTGGGATCTTTTAAGAGAAGAATTGGTCACGGTGATGTGCAGTGGTGATGCGGAAGCCAAGATGAATTTTATCGCGCAGATCCCACAGCTGCAGACTGGCATCTTGAGTGGATTGGCACGTGCATTTGGTGAGAATGGTCCACAGCGCGCATCGGTACATCACACTCTCGATGAAGTCAATGCCAGTGTCACTGCAGGCACCCTTGAGACTGACGATGATGAGTACTCTCTGGTTGAACAAAAGCCGGACATGCTTATTACTATGGAGACCATCTATCCTCAATTTCACTTCTCAACAGTATATATAGAATTCAGACTCGACCCACCTCTTTCTGGCGAGAACGGCGACCGTACGCTCCGCATTGGCGAAGATGAAGATTCAGTAATGAGCGATGCCAGCGGGGAAGGGCATGAACCCAGTAAGGATGCTGGAGAAGATAAAGCAGAGAACAGTGATATAAATGTAGACGAAGCGGTCGACAGAGTATCGCTTGTTGCAGTCAATTGATCATGATTAAGAGTCATGTGCGGTAAGACGTTTATTAACTGAGAGTGGCTTTCTCTTAGAAGTTCGCTGTGATTGATTCTCATGCATTTGTTCAGGTTTCTCGGTTCCTCTCTTTTGCTAATGAAGACGCCACTCTCAATATACTTGCTTTGGCATCAAACGAGCTGCATTCTGCGTGCCTTTACGATAAGCTCCTTCAATCATGCAAATTGCCTAAGGTCATACTGCTATATTGGGAAACCAGGCTATTAGCATCATCCCCGGAAACTATTTTTCGCGGAGTCTAGTACCGCTTAATTAAGTGACATTTAGACGATATGAAAGGCTAGTCGACAAAATATGACGCCTCCGACGGTTTGCAAAAGCAATTGCGAAGTCCACTAGTCAATGCCCTCATATCATGAAGTGCTGCAGCCATTAACAATGGCATCAGAATCTCTGATGACTAGCCGGGGGATACTTTGAGCCTTTTTGCCAGCGACGTCCATGCATTATGAGGCTGTGTCTCGAGATCAAGCTCAAGAGTATAAAAGTTCCATTTAATTAGCGGTCAAAGCAGCTCTCTTTGGCAGCAAGCCTTCTCATGCCTCCATTTGTAGTATCATGGATACTGAAGAAAGATTCTCAGACCTGAGCTCGAGATTGAAGGCATTAGCTGAAGCTATAGCTTGTCATTAGAAGGTGCCCCGATCCACGCTACTCTGGGATGGGTAGAGGAGGCTTGCACGAGCGGCCTTACACAACTATCTAAATAGATCGACTAAGCACTTGAATCACATACAATGAGCAGATTATTTTCAGGTCATACTCTGTTTTTGGAGTGAGATTAGGGCTCCTACTGCTTCCAGCTAAAAGGGTGAATTTAGAATAAACGTGATTACTTTAACAACAAATACCACCGTCTTCGGAACTATTATCTAACTACCCAAAATCGGAGATGCTTTACTGTCCTTATATGCTGGACTCGGGGCTGCAGCGTTCGCCCACAGTTGGGATATCATCTCGAGATAACAATCTACCTGCTAGATCTGTGACTGTTTGTCGTTTAAAGCCTGCATTATTCACCTATATCTCTAGATCCTTCTCTATCTGCCCTACTCTCCATCCGGTATCACCAAACACCCGTTTATACCACGGAACCTAGTCGGTCTGACTTTTCAAGACGAGTATGACTTCGCTCCGTTTGTAGTAATTTCGACTTTCCAAAGCCTCTCCAAATGTAATGCGCATACTGTAAACCTGACTCCCTAGAGCCTCTCCGACTGCAAATCGCACCCCATCAATCTGACTCTCTAGAGTCTCTGTAATTACAATTCGCATACTACAACCCTATGTTATGATGGCACGATGGTCGAACTTCACCTGCGGTAAACCTGACTCTGTTGAGTCCCTGCTTCGAGGATTGGGTGCCAAATCCTGAAGACACATTCAAGCCTCCTTACCTCCTTTCAATTTCGGGACGTTCTAGTGGCGGGCGAGGAGTGGTACCGCCCACAATCATCAGCGTGGCAATCGCCGCCGAATCTGCACCAATTGCGCCGTCTGAAGCCGTGGAGGTCCCTCGTACGCCTCGCATGGTGGGCGAGGAGACATTTCTTGCTCTCGCAGGCTAGATCTTGGGGACATTGCTGTGGTCTTGTTGTATTGTAATAGGGAGGATTAGGGGGATTGTTGGCGATGTTCGCTGCGGGGGTGTTTGGAGCTTGGTTATTAGCTACTCTGGAGAAACCTTTATTGATCTCGTTTGGGAGGCGTTGAGGTATTGACGTCTGGTTGTGCGTGGTAGGAAGGGAGCCGGTATTCTTTGCCTGGCTGGCGTCAGACTCCGTTGTAGATGCCTCAACCCTTGCTCGGGGTCTGGACGTCTGCGCCGCTCTCATGGGCTGCCGTAAGTCGTGCGATGACGGGCCGTGGTGAGGCTCTGCCCTCGGACCAGATGGTTGCTGCGCCGGGTTTGTACTGTGGCGCCCTTGTGAACCTGGACCAGGCCCACGAGGATTGGTGCGTAGAGGTTGACGGGTGAAGGGGTTCTTCCGATTTGGGTCATTCTCCCACAAACCCTTTACCCTCTTCCCACCATACCCTTCCAGGTCCTTCCTCTCCTTGAATGTTTCTATGAACGCATTATCAGGAAGGCTTCGGATCGACTCGTCTTTCAGTGTTAGCTCTTCCTTCATCTTTTCCGTTTCGGTCCTTATTGCATCAGCCCCTCCGCGGTTGCGTTGAGCATGGTTCTGAGCGAAATTGTTCCACTGTACGGTTGGTGCTTGAAGCATGGTCATTATACAGGCAACTCAACGGGATACAATTGCTTACCAGCCGCAGAAGACCCACCATCCTGCATGGAAGCAGGCGCAACTGTGACCTCTCTACCATCGACTCTATGCTGAGTCTCACTGAGACTACTTTGGCTTTGTTGAAGTTGTGTACCGGGCTGTGTGTTGTGGAGAGCACTCTGACTCTCCTGGGGCTGGTCTTCCGCTTGTTCGTCGTGGAGAGCATGCTGACTCTCCTGGACTTCCGCCGTAGGCTCTTCGTCGTTGAAAGCACACTGACTCTCAAATGCTTCTGTCCTAAGCTGTCTATCTTTCCCATCGAGAGCACGCTGACTCTCTGAACTCTGTGCTATAGGCTCTCCCTGATTGAGAGCACTCTGGCTCTCTTTCAGCTCCGTCTCCAGCTCTTGTACGCGGTTGACTAATGTCACAATCTTGTGCTCCAATGAAGTCAATGTCGTCGGTAGCGAGACTGGCGCTTTACGCTGGGAGGAGAGAGATTTTGTCGGTTGCTCTTGATGCACCCGAGACGCCTTTGAAAGGATGTTACTGGCCTTGTTGTTGAATATGGCTTCGATAGCCGTGACTTTTTGCTCCGCATTTGCTAAGGTGACCTTTGCTGTGAGACCATCCATTACCAATGTAGTATACACTTCCCGGAAAGTATGAAGGCGTGCGTCTACCGTAGCCAGCATCTTTCTGAGCCATGCATTTTGCATGGTCAACCTGCTACACTGAGCTGCATTGGTAGTCTGCAAGCCCATGAGAAGGGTAGCGTTGTCCAGTAAGTTCTCTGAAGGGAATACATAAGCACAGCTTTAGACTTCCAATTTTGAACATACCTTGCATATTCATGGTGACTTGCGCGTGGTTGACCAGCACGCCCGGCCGCCGGAGTCGCTCTAGCCACTGATTGATGACATGCTCGTGAAACTGAAAGCTTCCGAGGACGTGAAAAATTAAAACCATGATACTCAGTGCGCTCCATTGATGTGTTGCAAGGATTCGGTCGGAGAACGGACCGGGGACTTGTCGACAGAGATATCTCTGAATTTTGTCTACGAGATCATAGAAGATTGTCCAGAGGTCTGGCCCAGCCCGAGGATATTCGGAGCGATCGAGATGAAAAGATGGAAATTGCCATGAGATCTCGGCATTCGAATCGTTGAATCCCAAGGTCCCTTTAGCCTCGCTGTAGAATATCAGCCCTTTCATATGCTCGAAATTGTTGACCAAGTCCCTCGGTCCATGGGCAGTATTTTCGATGGAGATGGTTAAATTTACGAGGTCCTGTTGGAACACAGGATCCGTACTGTATGACTCCGCCGTGTTAAACGCTTTTTCGAACATGGCCTCCTCTGGGCCTTTGTACTCATACCCAACAGAGGGAAAATATCCCTCGTACACGCCAGCCACGACTAGAGCCCCTGTCCCTCCAGCGATGCTATACTGCAGCATCGTTATTGCCCAAGGAAGAACATGGCGAAAGAAAATCTCGCGGAAAGCGAACGGCATTTTGAAGGATTCGAGTGAGAGGTTGTCTCTTTTACTGTTGGGTTAGTAAGAGACGGAACTAAGAATGAAGGTTTACAAAGAGATCTGGTGAATTGATTGGTATCAAAGAAGGAGGGTAGAGGGAGACAGAATTGTTGTAGAAGGAAGAAGGAAAGTTGGGGGACTGGGCGAATTTAAACACGTGTCCAACACTTAAGGTGTTGTATGATATCTTAGGAGTGTTTAATCAATTTTGCCACCTTCCAGTAAACCAACCAACCTCTTGCGCTGATTAAGGGGAACACTGGTATACATGCCGCTTTGAGAAACGACACCTTTCACCTTCCTGCCTTGATCGCTATCAGTCTCGCCAATCGAGGCGGACTTCTTGACATGACACGGCATGAGTCCAGTAGCCCAACCACCAAAAGTCACCTGGCCCTTCGTAAGGTCATGGATGTGTCGAGTTACCCTGGCCAAACACATGAAGTCTGCGTCTTGTTTGCGAAGCGCTGTTGGCCTGTGGATACCAAGAGTCCCCAGCGCTCGTTCGATCATGCGCGCTAGCATTTTCGACCGCGTACTATGCGCTTGTCCTATATATTGCTATTCTTGATGCAGCTTATGCCGTGGGACGTATTCTAGGACCGGGTCTTGAGGCAGGTACGCCACGTCTTGCTGTACATTTGAACAGAGCTCCCCCTCCTTCTTTGATCGGCGGCTCCCTGTCCCGGAGGCCTCGAGGTGTAGGTTCACAGCCATATATGGCCAGGTTGTGTATAGACGGGAAAATCGCTCTCTTCTCAGACTTCATCGCATAACGTTGTCACCAGGAGCGTTCGCCCGCTGAGGGTGAATGGCTAGGGCTTGCCCCTGTCCACCTCCCGGCTCTTGTGGTCGCTAGAGCTATTCGCATTTGATGCCCGCGCCCATTGCGGCTGGAAGGGGAATTCGCGAGGTGAGCAGTGAAGTAGAAAGGGAGGGCGCTGCGTTCGCGGTGAGGACCAGGAGGCTTGAAGTCAGAGACGAGGGGGAGGGCTCGGGGTATTGGAAGCTAGCTCATGCTCAACGTCAGTCACGTTTTTGATGTGAGTTTATGAGGTTACTTACATACCTGAAGGTAGAGCAGAGTTGCGTTGCTTGAAAGTTGAAAGAGAATGCAGCGGGCCGGCAGATAGTTCACCCGGTGCTGACTCAGCTTCGAATTTATCTTGCGCTTGGCCCCCAACTTACGACTTCTTACATAAGGACTTCACCGCATACCTGCTTTAAAAGGCTGACACCCGTGGTTGCCTGCTGGTTTCTTGCTGAATTCCTGCTGGCTTCCTGCTCGCGAGCTTTCAGGTAACCCTGTCTGCTCTCGAGCGCGTGGGCAAGGATTTCGCAAACAGTCATTTCCCTCATTGGGTACGTTTTCGGCTCTTTGGTACATGCTCTCTGTGCCGCGTCGTCTCCCTACGCCTGTCATCATCATGAATTTGGCAGTGCGTTCCTATCTTCCCATCAACAGGTTGGAGATGAAAGCGTATTCAGTTAGGCCCCCGGCGACGACGCTGGCGCACTGCGCAACAGGATTCTAGGAGCGCCTCGCTTCGAAATGCGCCTCTAAGCAACACATTTCTCGGTCTTGGTATCTACAACTGGTCAAGTCGAGTGGGGGTTCGAAGATACTGTACATGATTCTCCTTTGTTGCAACATATGCGCTTTGTTGTACCCTTGATTCCACCTATTTCTGCGCCTACATGCAAGGTCATCAGATCCTAAGAAGACGTTCTACTTGAATCATAACCTCTTGCTACTATCCTATCGTGTGCGCATGTGATGTCGCTGCATCTTCATTTTCAGGGGCAAGGGCCACACTAAGCCTAAGCGGGCCTCGTTTCCCTAGACATTCGTTTTCTAGACATAATCTTGATGCGCCAGACTTGATACGGCGGAAAATTCGCTCAATACACGGAGAACTTCCCGTAAAACGAAGGTCGTTTTATAATCTGCTGTCAAAGAGGTCGACGACGGGCTTCTCTGCGAAGGGGGCTCTGGCTGTACCAAATGCGACACGCTTCTTCGCATCTTCGTCAGCTTTAAACGAGCAGGATGTAATAGAATACGCCCGTTGAAATGCTACTGCAACCTATCTCATCCCATGCATCTCTTGCAGGGCATCATTTGCGGTCTTTGCGTTGGCAGCATTGAGGTACGAGCCTCATTCGTAGACTTTGGCAGGATTTGCGATGGTCGACAATTTACAACATCTCCAGACACTGTCCGAATTGCTCGACCGCCTAGCATATTGCCTTTGAAGACCGGAGAACAGGTGATGAGCTAAAGTCCAAGTGCAAGGTTTATTATTGCCGACGTGCAGTCACCCAATCCCCACTCTGCTGCAACAGGCAGTTTCAGTCGTGCATTGACAATGTGGACGCGAATGCTCGCACAGTGTAGATAGCTGCAGACTCAATCCTGAACTGGCTGGGCTTGCTAGACACATCTAGTCTACACCCAGAGGGTAACCATTTAGCCCATCCTAGCGAAGGAGGTACTATGCCTATGCCCCACAAGCGGCCGTGCAATTTGAGCCTGACGGGACCAACAACAGGCGCGGCATATCCCAATTGAATTAATTTCGAATCTGGGCTTCTTTCGACACTTGTTCACCTGGCGGGACGATTGTCCGATCGCCGGCACAATGTAACCCTACGATGAGAGGAGCAGACAGCATCTCTTGTGCAGCGTATAATAATGAATCTTCACCACAGAGTCCGGATAAATAACAAATTTGGACATGCCCTCGCTATATCCTCCGTGCCTAAGTGTTCGTCAACAAGCGCAGCAGTGATAAGCAAAGCCACATAACCAGCTCAAGCTTATCACTATGCAACGTAGCTAGAGGGAAAGGGGCATCGCTTCAAATAAGGTGTTTCGCGCGGTGAAGCGTATCACTACCAGATAGCTAGAGGATGCTGATTAGCATTGCTCTCACACAGCTTGTTTAGCGCATGAAAATCTGTGAGAGCTACTTCACGATTGATTTTGGAGAAATTCGATGCGAGACTGAAGTTTGCTGTGATGAGCGCACCCTTATTGCAGCTCCTTGGGCGGTGGCTGCCAGGCTGCAGACCATGCAGAAAATGGCCAGCGTTTGCCAGATACATCAAATTAGGAAAAGGCGAACATTGCCACGTACTCTCCAAATAGCTCTAAAATACGACTCGAAAACCTGCACGCTGGTTTCCCGAATTATGATTTGCGGCTATGAATGAGGCAGCTGGGATTATCTAGAAACACAGCCATTTCTCACAGCCTTTTCATCCTCTATTCGGGATTATTCGTGATTTCCGACCTGCTTCAGAGTTTGGATGCCTTTTCAACCGCGCCCTAGTGGTCCGACACAAGTCAAAGGCTTAGTGATCCCTCACGGTCGTCTTTACAACAACTCGAAATCATTGGCGAAAAAGCAGGTCAGCCACGCGCTCCACCATACTTGAATCTCCCGCTCCAACCTAGCTAAGAGTCACATCAGGGCAATTGAAACGACCAGAGGTCCCACATCGCACATGATCAGGCGGTCTCCGACGGACTTGATATTGGATTAGGCGTGGATAAGCTAAGGTGTAGATTTCTCAGCACGCACGATCATGTATTCAGGAGCGCGGAGAGGACAATAGCAAATGTATACCTTTCTGTCGTGCCTTGTGCATCTCGTAATCGTGGCCGAAGGCTGTGAGAGTAGGCTCGTGATTAAGCCTCTCTCAAAGATTGGTTGGCAAAGTCTGCTCCAATACGTCAAATTGCTGGACATGCATTCGCACAGATGGGTGTATGCTTTTCTTGAATTCGCCAGACATTTTATCTCTCTGAAACTATTGTCGGGACTCTAGAAAGGTCGCGTTTATGCGGTTATCAAGTGCAAAATAAACACGTTTACTTTACCATGCACTTACGGCAATACTCTAAAGAGTACGTATTAAAAGCGTCCTTCTAATTACAGGAGGTACCCTGTCTCCTCCTATCTATCGTCTGATCCCGCAAGTAAGTGTCTCGATTACAATATCCGAAGCAACATATATGGGATATCTTTTAAACCGCCAGAGAAGCCTTATTTTAGTGGCAACATGTTCCTTGATTAATCATTACAGCGCTCTCAAAGATTCAGGATAACGACTACTGTCTGCATCACTTCGGCCGCCACTACGCTTATAGCCGTCAATATTGAAAGCGGCTGCGTCTCTTGACGCTTGCGACTCTCGAATAACGATAGTTGTACAACGAATGTCTAGAACAGACGCGATCCTGACTAGGCACTGCATAGGGTAAATGTCTATTAGCCTCTTGAAGCACGAGTTACTAGCAAGGTAGAAGTGGTTGGACGGCTTATACTAATTGGGATTTAGGGGGCTTGTACGCTGAACAAATCCTTAATAAGAATTAGCAATTTTCGATAATGTAAGACTGCTTTTGCAAGCAGATTTATCAATGGCTTATGTGTCAAAGTCCGACTATCCTTGACCCTGTGAACATGGAAATATTGTTAGCAGGCAATTCTCTCATTTCTCAATAAGGTCGGCCTTCGCGCAGAAGACGGTAGTGGTTCATTTTGATAATTCAGCAGAAAAGAACTCACTTCATCCACTCGTGGATAGAATTCTCTCGCTTGACGTAAGAATTGGAACCGTCGCTTGCTACGAAGAGATATTTGCCTCTGAAGCTTATCGATATCTACAAGCTACTGCGAAAGCACGTGGGCCAACACAAGCTCGACGCCTACGCTGACTTGTACCACACACTTATATCTCTTTCTCGTACGCACTAAAGACTCGCCGTGATAAGCTATTATACTATATCTACTGTTATTAATCCTTATTGAGACTCCTTCAGCACCTATAAGAAGTATGTATTTAATTCATAAATCGATTATCATAGTATGCTTAAATTTGTGGATAAGGAGCCCATTTCTGAGGGCATTTGATGGTATATGACATTGGAGATCTTAAACAGGTAGAAGAGTAGCAATACAAATGACTGGCTCAAAGGTGCTTACAGCATAACAAGCATATCGGAAAAGACCCCTCCTTATCCAGCCACTTCTATGTCCTCCTTCTCTACCTCACGAATAAAACCTATGATAAAGATGACATCTTCTTTTTTGGGACTCGACTAGTAAAGAGAAGCAGAATTTGAACTCAGCCTTGGCAGAAAGTGTTTCTTTCGCAAAGATAAGGTGGAGGATTCCAAATAAATATGCCCCTAAAGAGAGAGTATTGAACTTGCTCGCTCTCTAGTAGAAAAGGTAGAGGGGCTAAAAGGGGAGATGACCTTGTCGAAAGGGAGATCATATCCAACGCTCCAACATATTGAGACAGTATAAGATTGATAAAGTCATGTGTTAAATAAGCGAAGAAGCCCCTGAATACATTGCCGATCTTGAGGAGAGCCATAGCAATCTAGCGGCCATAGGGCTAGCATACCTGGTGAAAAAACACTCTAGCATTTGTAACTACTAGAGATACTGACATTACAGTAGCATTGCAAAACAAATTGTCAAAGTCCCTAGCCACGGTTTCAAATAGCCTTGGTACCCGCCTTTTATCGCCATGAGATCTCAGGCTACAGGTGTCCGCTTTAATAGCTTCTCTGATATGCGACAGCATCGAGTCGATACTCTAGTCGTTTGAATAGACGTTGATAAATGGTGAGGATGTGTATCAGGTTTGTGTTGAGTATTTGAGAAAGGACAGACCTGCACGTTGTTTGTGTAAGTGAATGTTAATTACATGCTTAGAGTGCTAATAGCGTAAAGCCATTTTGGTTCAATATGCCTGCGGTCCCCTTTCCACCCTTTAGAGCTGACAAGATGTCATGTCTCAGCACTACAACGTATGTATTAATCGCCTTAAACCTACTGTCTCAAGGTGATGATAGGTTGCATGCTAAAGTCGTGTTCAAGCACGATCTTCAATCTCGAGAAGTTCTATCCATGATGACCCTCGTCTTGCAAAAAACCTTGATCTTTAGCTTATCTATGCTCTCTTGTTGTCTCACTTGACAATGACAAGCGTATTCTCTGTCCTTTGAAGAGCGGCTCTAATTTCTTGAGGAAGGTTTCCGAAGCGGCAGTACTGCTCCAATGCATTTTCTCCTAAGCTTTTGATCAATGATGTGATCGTAGGAAGCTTTTCCGCGAGATGCAAGAAGAAATCAAATTGTGAATCCCGAAAATCCTTGACAATGGTCGATGGAGAGATCTCTGGGCAAGCCTTGGTCAGTATCTAGGTGGCGTACGTGTTGCTGCAAAGTATATACTTACTAACAGTAACAAATACGAGGACGGCTCCAGATCCTCCAAATTCCTCACAAACCTCTAACCAGCGCTTGCCTTGTCGGTAAGCGTTTTTCAGCTCTCCTTCCTTTGCCTTCAGCCCCGTTTCTGACATATGCGGGCTTTCCTGTACCGCAATATTTTCTAGCACACAAAGGTGTGGTGCCAATTTCATGTTGTGTCTGCTAGAGGGATGGCGGATATCGCAATAATCTTCGCTTTCTTTTTCTACTAGCCGCGCCAGCGTCATTTGAGCGAACGCTTTGTGTATCTTGTAGTGGAAGCCTGTGCCTCTGATGATGTCGATGGCCTTTAGTAGATCAATCGGGTCATCCATATCCCAAGTCGAGGGCAGATCAAAATCTGCTTGTCCTTTGGATTCTTTCCTATCGGCTAGATATTCGTATAGCTTTGCGCCCTTGCGCTGTAACCATAGTTTTGCAAACTGGTCTAAAACCTTGATAGCTCGGGTGTACGTAAGAGGTTGATTGACTGGCGTTTTCCTCCATGCTTTGGTTATAGCGTTCTGGAAATTCGTGTCTTGTCGCAAAATCCCGGTCTCACACCGCCCAGGATCCGAGATATCTATTTTTGGTAATAAAGGTGGCTGTACAGTCGTTTGCGTAGATTGAAGCAAAGATGTAGCAGAAGAAGATGGTGGTTTATCCTGACTGTCCGCCCCCGCACCGACTCCATCTTCTCGATCATCAACTTCGTCTTCTTGGTGATCGAATTTATCGTCCTGATGGTAAGCCTCAGTCTCTTGGCGATTGGTATCATCTTCTTGATCATCAACTTCGTCAATTTGATCGTCGGCTCCACCCTGTGAATGATTGGAATCATCTTCTTGGGGGTTGACTTGGTCAGAGCTGACACTCGTACTGTCCGAGTGTGAGGTTGAATTTGATGAAAGAGCATCTTTATCTCCTGGGCATGGAGAGTCTGACGGTGTTAGGTCATTGCCATTTGTCAAAGTTGGCTGATGTGGCGTATCGCTTGTACCATCGGCATTTGCTCGTGCTCGCTTGTAACTTTGAGGATCAGCCATCTGGTGGAATTCGTTCTTCCTTTTATTGACAAAATTACGTTGAACAGCTTGCGTCGCTACTTTAATCGCCGCATTCAAATGTGCTTGCTTTTCCGCTTGGTGTTTCAATCTAGCAGATGTGCACGTCAACGTCACGTTTTTCAGGATCGGCGCAATATCGAATGGCACTTTCTCCGCAGCGGCTTGTATGAAGTTCTTGAACTCAGTGGATTGTACCACCGCTCGTATGCATCCTGTGGAGGCTGCAGTGCATGCATCTAGGTCGTCCTTTGCATAGTTGCATTTCTGAATTTCAGCCTCGGGCAAACCCATGATAGAAAGGCTTGACTTGCAGGGAACAAGAATGGTGTGTCCAAGAAAAGAGAGGCCTGTTGCTTGTGTAATTGCATAGACTGCTGGCAATGAGCCTTCAGACCTAGGATGTGAGCCAAGAAAACGATTGAAAAGGGGAAGACCTTTGTTGAGGAGCTCCTGATAGGTGAGTGATAGTCAAACTGGTCAGCGGTTAAAAGTCGTTCTGAACGATGACTGCAGATTTTCCAGCTCAGATCGAACTTGTATCGGCAATGTCAAAGGCCCTGTGGCGGTAGAACTTCGCTAGGTAAGCGCTCAAGGCAATATCGGAAGGCCGTTAGACTTCACAAGAGATGTAGGAAGCTATTCACAAGACTTGCTCTAACAAGTATATGAAGTCAAAGTCAGTCTACAGGCTTCATATCGGAGGGTGAGACGTCGTTCACCAACCTTTAATGTTCGTCACCTATAAAGACCAGCGATGTACCAGACCAGCGTTTCGAGGTTGCTGAGAGCGACAAGTAGAAGTTAGCCTGTCCAACATGTAAGAACATGTAGAAGAGGTGAAGTACGAAGATTTGTGGGCTGAAAGGTCGAAAGATCAGAGAATCAAAGTCTGTTGACTAGTCTCAGGAGGAGTGAATAAACTGTAGCTTGGATATGCGGGCGGCCAAATGTGAATGACGAGTAAGGGCTGGATGTTTCACTAACTTCGATAAAAAACAAGCCCAACTACGCAATGTTCGACAATCAGAAGCTGCTTCGCCAACGCATGGGACTGCTCACTTTGTGGCGAAAGACTCAGTCCGAGATCGTGAACGATTTTGGACGTAAAGTCGCAATCTGGACCCTTGGACGAGAGAGCAAAAATAGAGTACTGGAAGAAAATTGAGCGGTGAGAAATTGGTCTGTGCAGCATGATCGAAGACTAGATGCGATAATGTAGGAAGCTTTGAAGGTCAATGAAAGCTTAACGGCGCTGTATATGAGAGTCGTTTCAACCCGTGTGGCCGGATTAACGAGGCATTCAGCACAGCTGCGGACTATCGCAGTCGCAACATTGACATGCGCGACAGGTAAGTGGGAGCCTCGGCTTACGGTCGGAAAGTTCAGGCAAACGGGTGATGGAGAGAAGAATGAGAGATTTATTGAAGATAGAAGGTGGTGTGGCCTTGGGCTTCTAGGCAGTTGGCGGCTTGTTGTTGAGGGTGGATGGTGCAGTCTGAAGAGTCTCGTTAATAGGTCAATCTCGGAAGGATTGTCCTAGTCCCCGAGGATAGTAGCCCGCATATAGGATTGCACTATTAGAAAGGGAATGTTATGTGTCTAGTAGTAGATGCCGGGGCGTTGAATTGACCGGACCGAAGGTTGGAGTCTGAACGCTGATTTCTTCAATGCACGAGTATGAAAGGAGCAAGGTGCTTTCTTCGTGATGTGACTCACCGACCTGCTTCAAGCTCGCTTTTCGCGGCCTGGCTTTGGGGCGGAAGCGATAATTCAAAATTCAATGATGACACTTTCATCCAGAGCGCGCATGGTCAAGATAGCCGCTTCGTCATACAACCTCAGAGTTCGCACACGCAGGCCCCAGTCTGATGTCAAATCCCTTCCCAATGTTTTCCTCGCCTACCCAAGATCAGCGGCTTGACACCAACCCACAATTGCAAGCCTGACTTGACGTAGTGCACCTTTCTCGCGCTGAGTCCTGCCCATCCAGTCCTCACTTTGCCCTTAACTCAATAGCTCGAGCTTGAATATACGAAGCTTTAACGTGAACGAGACCGTAAGTCTTGCCTCGACTCCGGTAGACGTGATTATTCAGCCAAAGATTCAGATCAGAATTCTCAACTCAATTAAGTCAGCTCATGTCGAATTCGCTCCAACAAATGTCATAGTAAGACTCACTAAGCGCTGGAGGTCTATTCACCTTCATCCAGTTCTTTTTCAAGCAGCAAATTTTAGCAACATTCAAGACAGACTAAATTCGGTAATGCAGCAACACGGTTTATGGTACCCTCAATCAAGATCAGAGGGACACCTACATCTTTGAAAATCCTTCTGGTTTCGAGAATTGCAGAATCATTAGTCCCAACGCCGAGCCGAGATCCACCATTTCCGGAGATGCAGGTGCTCCCCAGTGGAGGGAAGACCAGCAAGTGGGCCGATGGACCACGTATCAGGCACCCAGAGGCGCACCAACCCATATGACGCAGCATCTGTGTCTTCAACAACATTCCCTGAACCTGCGCTTCTGGTGCCTCATGTACACAGCATCTTTTTGTCAGTTCCCATCTTCATGGAGCGTTAAGTGCATATCAAAACATGCAAACCCTGATGACCGCATTTTCAACAACGTGACAGCACGATATCGTCCAAGTCTCTGCACTAGCGCAACAACGTGCGAGAAGGAGCCGCTAGCATCAGGCTCCAAAACATTGTTGAACCAACATCGTGAGAAAGGGGCCGATAAGAATGGAAACGAATCAAGAGTCTTGCAATCTCGCTCAGACCCGCACACCAAATTCGAGGAATAAAAGAAGAAGGTCGAGTCCCGCAGACAAGATCAGTGAGAGGGTAGCCTATTCTTGCATATGACTTACAGTGCAGAGGTCGTGAAGGTTTGTACTAGGTGAAGGACGAGCAGTCTCTAGATCATTTAAGTATTAGCAATGGCTGGCGCAGATCCAGATACTTACACGCCATTCTCTCCTTCCCTTTCCCTCCCTCCACACATACAGCAGCTGCATCGGGACGGCTCGGGCTGGGTAACACGCAGACGCGAGGCGTGCACAAGAGGTAGGTAAAGCCTGCAGGTCACAAAGCCTGATATTTGCAAAAGTATGCATAGCATGCTCAAAGTTTGAGGAAGGAACACGCGAGACGCGAGTGCCTAGGACGGCAGTTAAATAGTCTTGAAATGGCTAGAGCTCTGTGGCATTGGTCTGAGCATGGTATGAACTCGATTGCGAAGGCTAGGGAAGGATGCGAGAGGAGACGGACCGGATCGTCTCGTAAGTCACGGGCGTATGTACAGCCCAAAGTTCTACTTCCTGCCAGATGGGGCACTGTCTCTCAACACTTCTCAATCCTTTGCACACATTCTGACTCTTCACCAAAAGGATGTATTCAGCTTGATCAAGCCCGCCTGCACTCCTGCAAATGCCCCCGAGCCTTCCTGGATCGATGACCATCGTCTGCCCATCTATGCCCCTCTCCTGTAAATGTTCCCTCCTGGTTATGGCAGAGTGCCAAACCGCCTCTGCTTCTTCTCTGTCCTGCATGGATCGTCATCGTAAATTGTGTTCCGGCTACCCTGAGGCACTACCTCCCCCTTCTTCCTTCATCAATCATGTCCCTCTCGTATGCTTCGTCCCGTTATCTTGACAAACGCCTACATGCGCTCCCCTCTACGTCCCTTCCCGGCCTGCGTTGTGACTGTCATCTGTGTCCCGTGTCTTGGCTCATCTTGCTCGACTTCCGCATCTTTACCTTGCTACTCAAGCACACTGGGAGGATGCCACCAGGTAGAATGTAGCTAGGCTCCCTGGCAAGAAGGGGAGTTTGACCTAGCGAGGGCTGCCACGGTAGGCTTGGTTGTTTTGTGGAGGGGTGGAGGTTCGCGCCCGATGGGAAGGCGGAGAAGGAAGGTGAGTAAGAGAAAGCGTGCAGGTAGTCTCAGCAACGGGGGTGTTGAGGCCGGCGTTCTCGCTGATTTCACGCCTGTGTATGCTGTTGTGGTGGAGTGCAGGATGCACAGAGCCAATGATCATGGGCAGGATCTTTAGAAGAGATCTTTAGACATGCCGATCGTGAGTCCTGCAGCACTCCCCTACGAAACGCGGGTATATGTGCATCTCAATACCTGTGTCGCCAGATGTCGTTCATACAAGAGGTTCGAGGGGATAGGTTTATGTACTGGAGGGATGAATCTGTTGGAATGAGAGGACGCTGGAGAGAATTAGGCGTAAGGACCAGCGACGAGCTTGCGGGAGCGCCCACAGAGAAGCCCTAGACTGCCCTAGGGTAAGGATTTCGACATTGAGGGTAGAGCCTACTGAATTGGCACGCTTCATTGAAGCTGTTGAGTGACAGGAAGGCCTTAGGCACAAATCGAAGTCAAAGTTTGGCAGGACGCGGAAACAATTCCCGAGAGTTCGGGAAGTCGCGGCAGTTGCCGACACTTGGTCTTCTTAGGGCTGCAGCCCTGAGGGCAACTCTAGGGCCTGGTCACGCTTGGCTTGTACGGGGTTAGGGCTAGGGCTGCCTCTTCAAAGTGGTTACAACCATCTTCACGTGATAGGATCTCCATCACTTCTCTCTCACTTCCCCATTCACAAGTTATCATCATCACTTGTGTCGGTTCAATTCACACAATGCGCGCAAAACGACAGACTCGTGCCGGCCTCTTATTCACTCTACGTCGACCGCCTTGCTACCTCTCACATCAATGCTCTTGACGCCGATCAGCCATTTACCCAGCGTCAAGCGAAAGCGCAACCACAGCCGCATCAGTGACAAATCTGTGGTCTCCGAAAAGACACGCGCGAAACGGCTGCCTCCAAGTTGTTGGGATCGACTGCCCAAACTCTCGCTTTCGGGGTACGCCCTTGAAGAGCAGAGACGTCGATTTGTACACGCGGACGCCACAGCTGCGTCTGGACCGCCACTTAATGAAGTCGTCGAACTCGGAACGCTGAATCAATTCGCAAGGCACGGCGGACCCGATCTGAGCGATATTCGTGGTGTAAGTTATGCACCTCAAATGCAGGCCTCCTACTGACCTGTGCTTAGTACCCTGACTGCACATCCGTACACATCTCCGACACGACTATCATGTCCCAAGCAGACACGAAGTGAAAGTCAAACCCGTCGCAGGGAAAGTCTTCAGGGCCATACGATGTCAATTCCGAGGATAACCTCATCAAAGGTCATGTTTATCTACCTGATCACGAATGCGACAACGGGAAAGGGACTTGCACAGCTTGGCCAGAGAAAATGGCTGAGCTACGTAACCAACTTGTGACTCCGCGGCATGACCTCACCCTTGACACCTTCACTGTGGATGATCACAGAGCATGGTGCAAGACTCTGGCGCAAGCCAGGACCGAGATTTCTGTGGGAAACAAGTCCTTCACAGCGACCACTGGTGATATGAGTATACTTGAGGGCGAGGACCTTTTTTGGAATAATCTTGAACCCCTCATTCCTGGAGTACAGCTAAAACAAGCAAAACCTGACTTTTTCGATAGTACTCAACCCTCGCAACTCTCACAAGTGCTCCTCGACATGTTTGGAACTCTTATTATTCCGTCGAAGCAACCACAGTCGCCCTGTATGCCAAACCTAATTACTGAAATCAAGGGGCCCAAAGGAACCTTCGATGTCCTCAATCGCCAGGCTCTCTACTCAGGCGCGTTGGGCGAGCGAGCTATGCACACCCTTATGGCGTACGTTGGTTGTGAGAAGGAGGGACTCAACACTATCCGCACACTAGCCTGCACCTTCATTGACAGCACTCTCAAAATTTACTGCCTACATCGTACGAAGCGCCCCAAATCAAATGCCAAACCTCACATTCATATGCAGCAACTGAAGGCTGTTGAGATGACCGAGAGTGCCGAAGAGTGGATCAAAGGAGCAACGGTGTACCGGAATGCGCGCGAGATGGCGAAAGCTTGGCGAGACGAACTGGTTCGGAAGGCGAATGCGCAAGCTAACAAGCCCTGCCATACTGTCCTCAAGGCTGCAACCGTATCGACATCTTTTGAATCGAATGAGAGTGGAGGCACAAGTGGCACCGCTGGTACCACGAGTACTGACGAATTAAATCCCGAATATGAGGGAAAGAGGCTGAGAACAGGGTGATAGATATGAGTCGTGCCGATAGCACGTAATGTACATAACTAAAAGCGGCAGAGAAGATTTCGGCCTCGCATGCAAGAGGCACAATAACGTGAAGCATGGATGTCCACGATTGCGACGTGCCTGCGATCTTGCTATTGCGAAATACTGCGCCCATGCTCACGTCTGGCTGACATTAACACACACATGATAGATAAAGCAGGTCGGCACTCCATACCACGGGCGAGGGTCAGCGACGGTGGCCTACACGAGGCATAACGGCCTAAGAAACCCCACTTACCGGCACAATCTGACCTACCTCCTCGATTTAGATAGCAAAATTAAAATACAACATTCTAGAACGACGCTATATGCCTACGTCCAACGCCTCTAGCTTCGAAAAAGCCCCCGCAATAGCCTATCCTCTGCTAACCCTCCCGTTTCTTAATCAACACTCTTAATGACTCCCCTAGTTCAAATGGTCAAATCAATGCTGACGACAAAACTGAACCTAGAAGTAGGAACGACGCCCACTTCAAAGCATGCTCCCTCATTTAAATCCGCCCTACGTCCTATAACAAGTCCGTGTTCCTACTATGCGATAGACCTAGTATAGGCCCTGCTTGCGGCAATGGGGGTGGGCCTGGTGTATCTGCATTGCTTGTGGTAAATCATCTTTTCAACATATCATCGCCAAAGGTTGTTGAAGCAAGGCTGAATGAATATGCGGGGTGCAGGATCTCAGGATTAGTGTAGATTGTGCACGTTTACACGCTTTTTTAAATATATAATTTCTTGCGCTGCATGCTATCTTCCCAAGTTGTTCCTCGCCTCAAAGTCTATGCTATGGCTTATAGTCTCGATGCTTTTTTCTTTGACACGTGTTTAAGTAAAGGCTGCATTTCTACTAAAGCTACTCTTAGAAGAATAGTCGGCATTTCAAGTTTGGGCGACTAGACAAGATCAACAGAATCCTAGACTCACACTTCTGCGGAATTTTGTTCCTTACAGGTGTCCTACTCTTCGTCCTTAGCCTATAACGATGTTTCTGCCGCCGTCAGCCGCCATCTTGTCTGACATCACCCTTGAGATGCCCACCTTCTTGGCTTCAACGCTCTCTCCAGCCTTTGGAGCTGTAGTATCTTGCGCTATTGAAGCCATGGGCTCTTAGAAGTGCACGTCCGAAGTATGCGAAAAGATTATTAGCATAAACAAGGTTTTGACTTTCTGCAAAGGGTTCTAGCGAGATGCGAGATGGTTGCAATGAAATTTCCGAAACCCCTTAACAGCATAATATACCTTTGCAGATGAATACGTTCAAAGCGGATATATACTTGCGTTGTTGTATAATGTACTTTCTTGTAGTTGCTGGAGCAAGGTACTACGTATGAATAAGCTAAGATTGGGATCTGTTGAAGTGAAAAGGATCTCATGTGGTGATAACTAACAAGTTGTGTCGAGAACAGGTGTGCTTTTCATTACATATGTTGGGAATTTTCGTTACTATACGTCTTGCAGAAGATTCTGGCCTTGCGAAGCCCAGTGTTCATTGGTTTAATGCGTGCATGTATGCTTAGAGTAAACGCGTTTATTTTGACGTTGAAATGGAAATTAAGGTAACTAAATGTAAAAGGCCTATATTAGAAAGCACCCAGGGATCATGATCTGTTTCCCACTACGAAATTGGTTAGATCCAATGGATGGCGCGACTCATGTAATTTCAACGTCAAGTTCTGCAATTTATCCCATCTTAAGTTTCTCCATGGAGGGGGAAGTCCCATAACGTCCACACGCCACGTGTACTATAGTCATCATGTAGAGGGATATCTTTTCAATCTACGAGACTAGTGCTCGAATGCTCTTAGCAAGTCGTTTGCCCAGATGCTTTGCAGTTCTATCAGAGAGAGCGACCTAAAATCGTGAATTCGTCTGTCAACCGAAAGTCTCATGCACATCGTCTCCAGATCTTGGTCGCGTTTGTGAGGGTCTCATTGAATAGCTTATCCTTGAGAGACCTTGGCACTTGAAGTATTACTGATTCGACAGAGGTAGACTCGTCGAATATTCTTGCTACATCTGGCAGAAGATCTTAACAAGGTATGAATCCTCCCACCGCGAGAGGCCTCGGGTATCACTGACATACATGAAACACAGCTCGTCAAGCTTGCTATTCGCGAATTAGGGAACGAAGTCTCGAAGGATGGTCAGTGATTGGATGTAATGTTTATAAATGTGAAAGATATCGCGATCATAGAATTATCCTAGCTCCTCAACAAGTTTTGGGCTAGCGCTTTCTCGAAATTAGAAGCGTTAGGTTGGCGATGGGATGCTCGGGATGGCCTCCACCAGAGTTGATGATTTTAGCTTAAGATTGAGATTCGAGGACCTTTGTGCACCGATTATTTGGCATTCCTGGACTACGTCGACCCCGTCCAACGCTAACATGCACCGAATTGCCGATTAAAGGATGACAATCATGACATGCGAGTTTTCTAAGCGAGTTTTCGCCTCCAGCAACGTCCTTACCATCCAATAGTTGCAGAAACTGCATGATAGACTTGGTCTTTTGCCTTCGTGTGGCTATCCTGGGGTAAGAGGCTAAATTACGCAGAATTGTATCTCGTGAACGCAGGACGTACTATCGTATAACTCAATCATTTGTCTATCATAATTATAAGACACAAATTCTATGTTCTTACATATAGGGACTTCTTAACAACTTCAAAAGAGACTCTAGAGAAGAGTAATCAAGCCGTCCATAATTCTAGGCAAAAATTAGTGGCGCTTTCGTATCCTCTAATTTCTTGTTCACTAAGTGGAGATTACGCAAATCTTTGAAGTCGTTTGCGTCATATTCTGTGATATGGAATATCACTTCTAGGGGAAATTTGACCATCTCAGGGTCCAAAGCACCTGGCTTGTAATCATCACCAATTGGGCTCTTCTTCTACAACAGGAGGGTACTTTGAAAAGATGGAGAATGACATCCCTTCGTCATCGTGAATGTCAAGAGCTTAGAAAATGTTTGTAAGAACGATGAAGAACTATGACGGTATCGCTCTTGTATAAGATACCTTGCATCGTAGGTTTAGGTAGCATGAAGTAGCCCGTGATCCTCACGCTTGCTGTATGAGTGGATTTTCGAAGAATGGAGAGCAACAAACCCGTTTTGGTAGCGTAGTGAACAGTCTTGCAATGTGGTTTCCCTAGGGTTTCGCCGCGATCAAGGCGCAAAGCTGAGGTAGCATTGCGTCGCTGGTTGGTAGTGCGTTTTAGTAGTGGTGTTAGAGTCTTACCCTCTAAGTCCATGTCAATACCAACAAGGAAGCTGCCTTTTGCCTCCTATTCGCAGATAAAACCGCATGTTGCATGCCTGCGGTGACCCAAGGACAACCAATCTTAGTCTTGAGCTCGCTCACCTATACTGTAGACCCAGAGCCGATCTCATCATTGGTACTGATGGGAGTTACCACAGCGTCCGCACCTAAGTATTTAGCCGCGATCATGCCTAAGTGGTCGCCACCATGGAGAGAGGGTTTTGGCCCTTCCAGACTGACCAAGAGAGACGATCGCTGTCTCCGTCGGTCGAAAGCACAGCGTCAAAGCCACCACCAGACTTCTCGCATAGCGTTTGGACGATATCGAGCTGAGTCTGATCGATTGCTTCGGTATCGATCAATACAAAGGTATTACTCCGGGTGAGTATGATTGCTTCATCGATCGGTTACTCGTCTGTCTTCAAAAACTCGCCGACCAAGGCCAAGGTGTTGAGTCTATAGCCGCTGTGATCGAAGGGGATATAGCTCCTCATAACTATGATACTACCTTTTCGTTTTTAAGGGCCCAATACGTCAGTGCAGGGGTGGGAATGGCGCCTAGGTTGACGTATCGCATGCTATAGGCAATTGATACTTCCTTGACCACCTGGTAGAGACCCTCTCCATCGTTATCGACTAAGTCTGTCGAACGGGCTGCAAGTCAATCGCAAAGTCGAAGTCATTACCGAGGTGAATACCGCCTTGATTGAGTGGTAGCGAATACAGGTAGGTCAGCTCAGCCAGAACGTTGAAGTAGATTTCCAGCTGCGTGAGATCGATGATTTCATGGCGGCGACCATTTACAACAAACTGCAATGCGACAGGCTTGTAGTTCAGCTGCTGCTCAGGGAATCTACCTTGAGGGAGCGGCGACAATGAACAGATCGGTGCAGGTATGGCAAGCTTCAAATGAAACAAAAAGTAAAAAGGTATAGTAATGATAAAGGCGGAGTGAACTGTGAGCTCAATTGAGCAAGCGAAGATAAAGGTGACGGGGTAAAGATACTCAAATCAGCTTTGATTAGCCCAAATTTCTTGAATATCTATGAACATACCTCTGCAAGACCAAATACGAAATCACATCGATTACTGATAATACGTTGTGAGTCCGAGGGGAGCTTTGAAAGATGGTAACACAAGGCGGAAATTAAAAGGGCTCCTCGTTTTGATTTCGATTTGAACTGTCTCTTCCTCCCTCATTACTCTTTCTACTCATAGGTAAGTACCCTGATCAATCAGGAAACCCCATTGGCGTGCGCACATACATTAGAAGCGCTTTATCGATCAGGATCAATCAGAAAGTGCTTGGAAAATATAGAAACGCGTTGCAAACAACTTGCAAACCGCATAGGTCTCAAATTGTTTGTGGGTCTGTCCTGGTCTGAAGAATTGCCTTGCAGACGTGAAGCAAAGTCAGACGTCTACGTACGGCGTTTTGAGCTGTTTCTAGCCTGTTCGGACTGAAAGTTAGCCTTGCAGCTGTGACGCCCAGCACGACGCCTACGAACGGCTTTTTCAGCTGTTTCGGCTTAATTTGGGTTGGAATTGGGCCTGGAAATGCTCTGCACAGCAACATTAACACCTAAATACTATATCAAACTCAGTTTCAGCTACTAACGCATCTACAGAGACTTTCAACGGATATATTAGAAGGATTTTGGAGTGAAAGAAGTGGGTCTATAGATTGCCCTGCAGCAGCCTTGCAGA